GGGTGGGGTGGGGTGGGGTGCCGCCGCGGTCTAGGCTGAGGGGTCGCCTGCCCGGTAGCCGCTCAGGGAGCCCGGATCCTGCCCTCCTGAGTCCTTTTGACGAGCCAGGCTCTGTGCGAGGTGCTCAGGTTGGTAGTGGGTAACAGTGCTTTTCCTGTAACTGGTGTTTAGGGCCAGTGACAGGTGTGCCTACAGTATCCTTCTGGTATGCTGTTAACCACTAAGGAGTGTGCTTTAAAAAAGCATTTGGGTTTGGACTTTAGGTTTGTGCTTGGCCTGCTGCTTCCAGCTAATGCCATATTAAGGGTTTTTTGCCTTTGAGGAACTATTGGGATGTTTATGGCTTGTGTTAGTAGTCTAATGCTTCTCTGCTGTGGATGAAAAGGAAGAAGGAAATCATCTCTTACTTTTTTGTTTTTAATATCCATGAGGAATGAGCATACTTTCTTTGGAGTTAACTGGGTTGTGACTAGACAAAAATGAACTACTTTAGAATTTATTTGTGGGGTTTTCTTTGCAAGTACTTTGTAAACTGTTTTACTCTGCACTGTGTGAAGCTATTTGCTTTCTTCATTTTTCCCTTAAGACTTCCTGCCTTTGAAATGTGATGCATGTGCAGAAGTTTTCTGTAAAGATCATATCCGATATGATGACCACAAGTGTTGCTCTGCCTACAAAAAGGTAAGTTCCTGTATGTAACTGCCAATAACTGACACTATAGAACTGTTAAATTGTGTATAAAGGCTGCTTTGAAACTTGACCTTTGGCTTCAATAGAAGTAGATGGGAGAACCACAAGATATAATTTAATGATGCAACTGGATTTCTAATGTAGAGAAACATACCATTTTTGAGCTTGATACAGCTAGATTCTAGTTTTTTTCACTTATGCTGTCTCTTCCCAAAGAAGAGTTCTTTATACTTTCAGTAATGTAGTGTTGTCTAAAAGTTTCTCCAGCCCATGTCCTTTAAGTTGGAGGCCAGCAAATGCTAAACTACAGAAGAAGTAATAGAATAAACAGGGCTAAACACTTTTCTTTAGCCCATACTTGGGCTTTGAAGTGTTCAAAGACTGTTAATTCTAGGGAGCCTAAAACTATAGCTGAAGCTATTTATTGAATAGTTTGAAACAACCTTATTTGGCAAGGCATGTCTGATTTTTTTGATGAAGATTTGTAGCTTTCCTTATGAAGAACACCTGTTGCAGTGAATGCTGCATGTGCTGAGAATTAAGAATAGTTAGTAAATGACTAGAATGCACAACACATGTGAATGCACTTTCTTCCTCTTTTCCCTCCTCCCCATGGGTGATGGCTAGAGAAGGAATTGGGTCAGGCTTCTAATGTGCTGTGTGTTCTCAGAATGTGCAGGTTCCAGTATGTCCACTCTGTAATGCCCCTATTCCAGTACAAAAAGGGGAAATTCCAGATGATGTGGTTGGAGCCCACATGGATAAGGACTGCAAATATAATCCAGCTCAGCAGAGACAGAGGGTAAGGAAACTTGTTATTGGGATCTGAACTGCCTGCCTAATGCTTGTGGAGTTAGTTTCTTGCTACTTCTGCATGTACTGCTGTTATAGAGCAAGCTCTACCTTGCTCTTTTCTTGATTCTAAAGGCACTTCAGCTTGGTCATGATTGGGAAGCTGATTGCAGAAAGCCAGCAAGCATTGTCAACTTAATGTCCTCTGTTTAGATCTTCACAAACAAGTGCTTAAAGCCAGGCTGCAAAAGGAAAGAGTTGATAAAGATGGTCTGTGAACAGTGCCATGGAAACTTCTGTATAAAGCATCGGCATCCTCTGGATCATGACTGCAAAGGAAGTGGCCACCCTGTCTCCAAGGCTGGGTAAGCTGTACTTAGGATGGTTTTTTTTACTTCCAGCTTAAATTTCAGAGCTAGAAACAGTGGTGGGTGGGGAGCCCTAACAAAGAAGGAATCCCGTCAGCTGCAGGTTGGTACTTCATCAGAGTGCTGAGGAAGCATAGCAGGAAGAAATAATGACTATTTTACTGAAGTATTTTGGGGAAGTCCCTTGTAAAACCTTCCCAAAGCTTTTCTAAACTTACCTAATTTGGCAGCCTGACTCTCACAAAGAAGGTGGGTGCCTTATGACTGAGAATAGGCACCATCTAACTCCAAGTACCCTTTGGGCCCTGGATCCTTGCAAGCCAAGGATCTGCATGCTTGAATCCTGAAGTTTTGCCCAGAAGCGCTGAACTAAGAACATGATGCTAGTCAATACTTTGCCAAGCAAAGTTTAAACCTCAGTAAAATATCTTTCTCTTGCAGACAGATGTACCTTCCTTGCTCTCTGCAGTAGGATTGTAAGACTTTATATAACAAATGCAGATAATTAAACTGGATGGAAAGCTGACTGCTGACAGTGTGCTTAAGAGGTACTGAGCCTGGTTGTATTTCTCTGTAGATATGCAGCTCTGATGAGAGCCTCTGAAACTGCCTTCAAGTCAACAGGAGCAATTGGGATGCCCTCTAATGGGAGTCCTCAGCACAACAGGTATAAGTTGCACAATGGGAAAAGACAAAGACTTTACAATAGTCTTGTGTCAACACACAAGTGTCACTGTTACACTTGTGTATCTGCATCTGCTCTAGAGTTAGTAGTTGGGTTTTGATCAGCTTTGGGGATGCAGTGGAGATCTGACAGCACAAGTTATCTTCCCTCTCTACTGTAGCAGTTAAAATGGCTAGATGCAAGTATTAGGACATCAAATTCTTTGTTGTTACAGTAGGCTGGTTTCCTGCCTGGTCAAGTTGTGGAAAAACAGTAATACATCAGAATGTGGAGAAAGCATAGCAAGCATCTAACTTAAATGACCCAAGTGCTTCCCTGCAAAGGTATATGTCCTTGTGACTAACAGTTTAACTCTTACAATGTGTTCTTATGTCTTTCAGATCCAGATAGTGGAGGCTCTTCACACACCTGGAGCAAAACTGCCTACTTCTAAGTAATTGTCTAAAGTTTTCTTTATTTTTCTATGGAAGTAAGGGTGGGTTACTTTTTTGTATCTTTTGTGTTCAATAAATGCTGCCTTTTTCAAGCCAACTCTACTTGTGCCTATATTTGGAGTAAAACTATAATACTACTGAAAAATAAACTTAATAGAGGAAACTGGGGGAGGATTGTGGAAGAAGATGAAAAGAATGAAATGCAGCCAGCTTTGCTTAGGTCATGCAAGTCTGAACTGAGTCTCCTAACATGGAAGTCTGAAATACAAGCTTACTGTCATAATTCTCAAAATCCTTCTGGAAATGAACTGGCACACAGTACTGCATTTTACTTGACAAACAGCTTGCCTCAAGCTGAAGCCTGTTTTTTAAGCTGCCTCTTGGTTTCTGGATGTCAGTGGAAGTACTTGATTTATAAATCCATACCTAGTTTTCCTTGGGCCTTCCTTAAGCAATTCACTGAGGGATGGTGCTCACAGAGGCATGCAGAGCATAATTCTTCATAGTTTATTGCCCCTTAAGTAGAAATCTGGATTTGGGAGAGTTTTGCGGTTGGGGCAAAAAGGAAGCAAGAAAAACCAACCGTTTTCTATCTTGGGCAATAAGAATGAGCCCGAAATATAGCACTGTGTATATGGATTACCCTTACCCTTTTCCCCAAAGCTTCTTCAAACAAGTGAAGACACAACAGATGTAGCATATCTGTTATCTTTATCAGCTCTTTAAAACTGCATGAGGGTGCAGCTGTTCAGCTTGGGGCCTGAAATAGTGTGACTTGATGAAATGGAAGTGTGCTGTTAATGAACAATGCTAATTCCCCACCTGGGATCTGAGTAGACCTCTCACACAACTAATTGTGAGAAAAATGCCAAGGCTTGCTGATGATGTCAGGGGGTCAGGGCCTCAATTTCATGTGTCATTACAACTGTTCTTCTGTGTATGCTGGGGCTGGTAGGCTGGAGTGTTGGCTTTGAACTGACTGGAGGGTAAGTGGACTCCCTTGCATCACCTGCAGCTATGAGTTTCCCAACCTGATTCTGCTGAGGTGGGAGAAACAGCAGTTTGTGTAGTAGAGATTACTATGGGCTTTAAGTGATAGCTCTTTTACCAGGAGAAAAATACTTGGTACTGTATGGGATGCAGGTGTAACAGGTGTTAATGTATATGCCTTATACTACCTTGAAGTCCACTGTTGTGAAAAGGCTTTTGTGTGTTTCTTGTTTTTCCTTAGAGAGTCTTCATTCTTAAAATACAAATGCTGCCCAAAGAGGAAATGTGGATTTGTGGTTGTTCACAGGAATAGCGCAAGGTGGTCAGCGCTTTGACTTTTAGGCCTTTTATCAGAAAAGGCAGACATAATGTTATGAGTTATGGCTGGCAAAGAACAAAAAAAATACACTATCCTCCATTCTGCTTTGGCCCAGTAATAATCTTTTGGAGGATGATTAAAGCTGTTCTTAGCAGTTGACTGATTATTCCTGCACTGATGAAGCTCTCTCTTCCAGCTATGTAGAAGGCCATAGCTGGACAAAAGGGATACGCAAGGTTGGGAGGTGGTATGAGGTACTACTACTGCTTCCATTGTGGTCTCATTTTATGCAATGATAAGTCTAAATTTGATGGTTTCTGTAATACTGTGTTTCACCACAGGATGTCACAACAGGATGTGTAATAGAACAATCCTCCTTGCATGTCTAAACATAGAAAACCCGGCTCGCTTTATTTGCGGTGGAACAGAAGCTTAAATTACAACTCTAACTTTAGATATTGCCTTCTACTGATTGTCCTGTGTGCTCTGCCCTCATACCTCAGCCCCCATATATTGCTAGAGCATGAAGATTCTTGCACTCCTATGTTTGTGTGTCAGGCCAGATGTTCCCAAACTATGCTGTACCTCCCCCTGGTATGGGAAGCAGTTTGCAGCAGTGAGCAGCAGCAGGTCCTGCCTGTCATGTGAGGACACAGACCTGGGCTAAGAGCTTCTGCTTAATCTGGTACCAATGGGAGCAGGTGAGAGGGTTGATACCTTGTGGTGCATTGAGGAGGTGGGAGGAGAGGAACAGCAGAAGAGGTGACACCTGGTTTGGATAGGAGAAGGAAGGATAGATGTGAAGGTTTACCTCTTCCCACAGGTGTAGATAATGATACTGGAAATTGTTGCCACCGGTATCTGCCACCACAGCTAGCTGCTGCTGGGGTCAGAGCAAATGGAAACTCAAAAGCTTTGTATTAGGTTGTCATGAAAAAATGCTTCATCTGCATATTTGTTTTCTATAAACATTCTCACCCTTAAAATTGCCAGGGGGAAAGACTGTGGAAATGTTTGTGTGCATAGTGAATATTTATAGAAAATGAAAATATGGAAACAGATAATTTTCCCGGATGCTTCACCCCCTCAAACCACAGTATGTGTCTGCTGCCAGTGCGTCCCCTCAGACCTGGCCCAGACAGCAGCTATGGCTGTTTGAGGCACTGGACCTTTACGATCCACTGGCTAAAACGAGGAACATCATTCTGCGGAGAGCTGGCGGTCGCTGCGTTGGCAGCTGGCACAGCCCCATGAGAAGGCACGAGCTTCCGGTGCCTGCTGCCGCCAGCCGCACCGCAGGCCCCGGGTGGATCCCCGCCAGGCCCGGGCGATCCTCCTCAGGGCCCGGGCGCGTCCCCAGCGCGGCAGGGATCACCTAGGCAACGGCGGGGCGGGGGGGACTCTCTTGGCCCCCCCCCCCCCGTGG